ACTGCCACGTCCACTATCCAGACTTTTTTGTCTTTCTTATCGACAATTGTTAAGTCTGGGGTGTTATGTTGCAGGTGCTTGTCTGTTTGAATTCTGAAGTCCCAGAGCAGTTTAATTTTATCATTTTCTATGACTTTCTCTATTTTATGATCCCACCAGTTTTTGCTTACAGGCAAATGATATTTCTTGCAGATCTTCCTATTACTATTATTACTATTATTACTATTACTATTACTATTACTATTATTATTATTATTATACCTGATAGGATTTGATTTCCAGATCCCTTATCACCCTTTTCTGTAGTGCCCAGTTTAATCAGCATTGAGAACAATGGAAATACTATCTGGACTCACTGCTTCTGATAACGAAGCCCAAGACTGCACTGGTCTTCTTAATGCTGCAACACCCGGTTTGATCATGTTCTTTTAGTGATCTACTTGTCGTCCTAGATCCTTCTCACTGCACTGGTTATCAATCTTGTAGTTATACAATTTATTTTTCTTGCAGAAATGCAGGATCTTGTACTTGTCACAGCTGAACATCATCCCACTGGGTATCCAAGATGTTGTGGCAATTTTGAATTGTTGTTTTCTACTGTAAGCCAGTTTCTAAGCATCATCTGAAAATTTAATAAGCCCTACTTGGCTTGCTCTTTGAGGAGAAAGATAGTTAATAATAGTATTTGGAGGAAATGATTCCAACAGTGTGGACACCAGTAACTCCAGTCTGAAGCAGATCCAGCAAGCCCCCCAAGACTCTGTGTCTGCACCCACTGATAACCTCCCAGATTCTGAAGTTCACCCTCCCAGTCTCAAACAGAGGCATGCAGAGGCATGATGCAGAAAATAAGCAATCCTTCTATTTCATATTTTAGAGCCTTGCCTTTGACCTAGGGCAGAATTTTAGAGGACCCTACTACATATTTCCCACCAGGACAATGCTGGATGTAAGAATTCTTTAGGTAAGAATTCAGCCAGTAAGGAATACATCGGACTGCTGAACTGATGGCTTGTTTGTTTGTTCATTTGATTTATATAGCCATTAATTTCACACACATAACTTTGGATGCTTTAGATAAGAACAAATAAAATACATAATATGAAATAAACACAGCAGCCAAGCTATTTTATCCATCCTGACCTCAAGAATATCACGAGAGATTTCATTAAACACTTTATAGAGATTAAGCATTTTATATATATATATTAGCCACCTGAAGTCTTATGATTAGGACAGCAGAAAACTTGTGCTAAATAAATAAATAAAGCTGAACCACCTTCACAGCATTCCTTTGCTCTACCAATCTAGTTACTCTGTCACAAATTGTGTCAGGTTAATCTTAACAGTAGAATCTTTATCTTAACAAATTCACACTAGCTCATACATAGGTCACATTGTTTTTAAGTGCTCGTCTATAACTTAATTTTTTTAATTGTTCATTCTTCCTTTAGTGGAATCATTCCCTCTTATTTAGCCATCTACACTCCTTAATTATAAGACTTTGTTTCTTATACATTTCCTTTTTGTATCCCAGCTTGTCAATGAATTCACTAATCATTCATATAAGACTTTTAAAACATTTCAATTTTTTTCTTCTCACGGGGACTTTTTCAAAGATTTCTTATCCCTCTTTGATTTTTTTTTTAATCTTTAGGGCTTCAAATCATGTTATACCACCCATTCTCTGTCTGTTTTCAGCTTCTTTGTCTTATCACCTATAGCAGGGGTAGGCAACCTTGGCTCTTTTATGACTCGTGGACTTCAACTCCCAGAATTCCTGAGCCAGCATGGCTCAGTTTGGAAACCTCTCCCTTTTTCTTCAGCATGGCTGGCTCAGGAATTCTGGGAGTTGAAGTCCTCGCGTCATAAAAGAGTCAAGGTTGCCTACCCCTGACCTATAGCTTTAAGATCGCCTGTGGTGTCCATTCTCTTCTAGCAATTTCTTCTATCTCAACAAAAACAACTAGAAATGGATACTAAATCATTCAGTTTGATGACCTTTTGTAATCTTTCAACTGTATCTTGAATTGATGCACTAGAAAAACAGTACATCACTCATGGTTGCATATGTCCTATAATGCTATTCTTATTTCGGCTCTCAATGGAAAGCTTTGAGTCCAAAAACTCGGAAGTCAAAACCTCTGGTCCCGCTGCCAGACCCAGACTGGATCCTGCAATATGTTTCTATATGTTTGCCATATGTTCATTTCTTTCACTGAAGTGATATCTTCCTCCTTGGGTTCACCTCTTTCATGTCTCCTCTGTTTCTAGACAACTTTATTATCCCCTGTCTTTCTCTACAATATTATTCTACTGGCCTTCACAGAGAATTCTCTGTGCAATCTGTATTTTTCAAGCCCCCCCCCAGGTAAATCAAGTCCTTTTTCCTTCTTCTTCAGCAAGGGAAAATTTGCAACAGGTATAATTAGCATACTCTTCTGGTATGATAATAAATAACTGAACGCACCTGGCAAATCACACTGCTGCTCCTTCAATGTCCAACCTTTGGCAGAATCTGAAGTCAGACTCTTCCTTCCTGTATTAAATTCCCCCCCCCAAAAAAACCCACCACCCCTTTTCCTATTTGTTCTTCTGATCAGTCATTCTGGTTACAAGTTCCCAGAAGCTATTGCTATAAGTCGCTCTTCCTACAGACCATGTCCTTAGACCAGGCATGTCAAACTCACGACGTCACATGACGTCGCGCGACGTATCGGGACTTTTCCCCATTGCAATGTGGTGGGCGTGATTTCAGTTTGACGCATCCAGCCCACAGACCGGCAGTTTGAAATGCCTTAGACCAATGGTGGCGAACCTATGGCACGGGTGCCAGAGGCGGCACTCGGAGCCCTCTCTGTGGGCACACTTGCCGTTGCCCCAGCCTTGCCTCCCCCAGCGACCCCCTCCTCTCCAGCAGCCCCCCGAAGGAGAGTCGCCCTCGAGGATGGCCCACCGGACAGCACAGCCAAGGACATGGCAGCCAGGCAGCGTAGACAAGACTCTGCCCTCATATCCCATCATGCAGTTGATGCTGCAGGGCGCAGAGAGGATGTGGCCCTCGTAGCGCTGCTGGGCTGCCTAGGTGATCTGCGGCAGGCCCTGGAGGCGGTGAGTGATCCTGTGGGCAGGCGGGGCAGGGGATGGGGGGGCAGAGTGGGGGGCGGGCAGGGCGTGAAGCGGGGCGGGGCCAGTTTTGGGGCACTCGGTCTCTAAAAGGTTCGCCATCACTGCCTTAGACAGTATGTTCAGCATATGCATATACTTGTGTCTAACCACACAGACTTATGTAATTACCCAAACTCTTTCCCAAATTTAGCAGATCAGCCCCTCAACTCCCCAGCTCTCTTGTAAAATTCCCTTGTTCCATTCATATGAGAACTGCATATCAAAATATAATTTTGCTGAAAGATCTTAAAACAAAGGTAGGCAACCTATGGTCTACATGCAGCCCCACTAATATTTCATTTACAGTTTCCCAACCTTTGAGATCATGATACTGAAATTCCTTAATTTATTTTTAACTTTAAAGATTGAAAATGGATTGGTACCTTTCTAGTCTAGCAAAACATAGGCCAAAAAAAAAAGATCATTCCATTTCTGGTAATGTCACAATATCATCAGATGACATATTTGGGGGGGGGGGGTCTTCATGAGGTAAGGATGTTGAAATACAACCTCTGACCCTTCAAACACTTCCACCTCTGTCTCAAAAGAGAATTCCCGTTTATATTTGCTTAATACAAGTTAGTATTTTATAGGCATGTAGATAGTCTCTTCATTGTGACAGGCTTCAGAGTACTTTAGAATTAAGACTAGCACATTATCCTTTGCTTGGAAGACAAGAATGTTTTTATTCAACTGACATGAACAAAATTCCTAGGTACATGGAACAATCCTTGATGTATCAGGGATATGAAAGGCTATATACAAAACTATCTAACAATACCTGGGAACCTGCGCATAACAGAAACCTGTAAAATGGTATCAGTTATTCTTGAAGGGGCAAGGAGTACCAAACAAATTAAGAGAACGTTGCTCAAGGGGGCATTCAGTTGTAAACTTGCCTAACAGCTTAATTTTGAATAATCAGCTCTTCTAGTTATATAGCAGTTAAACAAAAAAATATCTGACCTGTCTGTATAAATCAGCTGAGTTAAATACTTTTCTTAGTTTATTAA